TTATTCTTTACGCGACGTCTACGTTAATATACAACATTACTATTTATAATGTTACGTTACTATTTATAATGGTCGTGAATTGTGTTGTATACAGTTGCTTATCATCGTATAAACGGGTTAAGGAAGTTTCTTTCGTTTCCCAGAAGATGTAACGAAGTAAGTAAACAGAAATTATGTCTGAGACTCATTTAGTTATTGTTTTCTTCATTTATTTAGTGCAGAGTATAATATATAGAACAGATTAATTATATCAATATAATGAGACGTCATAAGTTCGTGACTTAGTCCTTAGACAGGGGCTCTCGAATTTTCTATTTGTATTGCCGATAAATATGTAGTGAAGATACCTAATTATTAAGTAAGTAATGATAAACTTGGACACGCAATTTCAAATACCTTGGTTACCTTATTTAAATATACCTGTCCAAAATACGACATTTTAAGTGCTTTTAATATATTTTTAAATAAATCTTCAATATTATTCTAGTTTGAATTCATGAGAAATATAATCTTATATCGATATAAATACCTAATGCACATGTGTAATTATTAGAATTCTATTAATAGAATTATAGATAACAAATTCGCGTTAGAATTGTCGCTAACTACGCAACGTTCAACTTCACGGACACATTTGCGCGTGTGCAGATAGCGCCTTGCTGTATATAGTAGTAGGTGTATAATTTCCGACAGTTGTATGGAGTGTCCGGGGTGTGGTTTAGGGGCTATTCTTTTTACTTATTCGGATTAGATAGGATAGATAGATTAGATATCAGCCACTCGTTTGCCTCTATAAATATTTATCTAGTTCAACCTGTCACCCTGTATATTATATATGTGTATTTATGAAATTTTATGTAAGAAGAATAAATAGTACATACTTAATATGTTCATGAAAAATAATGAATTAGGCGTAATATTCACATGTAGGAATAAAATTAAACCGGCATTTATTGACGGTCGTCATTCAAACGCATCTTTATTAAGATAACGGTTGATATATACATAGTTTGATAATGGTATCTTAGATATTTTTTTTAATAACATCAAGTGACGGGACGAACAAGTCGTGCGCCTGACGTTAAGCTAGACGCCTGTCCATAACAGTTACAGTGCCACTCAGAGCTTTAAATTGCAAAGATCTGAGGGGCACTACCACTGCGCCCGTCATCCTGAGACATAAGTTCACATGTCCTATTTGCCTGCAATTTCACCAGCACCCTTACCCTTCTAAACCGGAACAGATTGCTAGAGGTCAGGCGAAAACTGGTGTATCTGTTATAACTAACCCTCCTTTATTGGCTTAAATTCCCTTTCTTAGCTCGCCAATATCACGTTACGTCCTTCGTCAGCACAAGTACCCTTTGTTCAATTTCCATTTATCCCGCACAATGACACTAATACACATTTCTTCGAAGCCCTAGCCGTGATCGACTCCCCTAGGACAAATATTGATGTGTACAGTAGCAGAATCAAAGTTTCTAAACCCACTGGTTAATATTTAGAGACGTTCATCGACCAAAGCTCTGCATCCTTGCCATACAATAATTGTAATTTTTGATGTTGTTAATTGTAACATTGTTGTAATATTCATGTCATTGAATATGTTTAATGTTTTGTGTGGTGAATAAATGATTTAAATGGCATTCAAATGCATATTTACAATTTACAAAGAGCAAGTGCTCATTCTTCTGTTCATGAATCTGCATTTACATACGAGCAGTAGAGTTTAATCAATAAGACGATTTCAAGTATAATTTGCTTACCCATGAAATAAACCTTCATTGTCATTGTTCGTGGTCCTACTACGTAGTCCTACTAGTAGTACCAAGAGCAATGTTTTTAATCCATGGTTCTACCAGTAGGACAAATGAATTGAATGGACAAGAAATGATTATATTGTATGGGCATTGGACTTACTGATCGATTAGTGCAGTCACCGTCAATATTCATAATGTTTGTTACTGGTTTTGAGCTAAAAAAATAGCTAGATATAATCTTGTTATAATATCCTAGAGAACAATTATTGTAGCAACATTGTTAATATTGATGGTGAGCGTACTACCCGATCAGTAGGTTTTTTTAAATATATTAATATCAAGTGACGGGACGAACAAGGCGTGCACCTGATGGTAAGCTACACGCCTGTCCATAACAATTGCAGTGCCACTCAAGAGCTTTCGCAAGCAAGACGCAAAGATCTGAGGGGCACTGCCACTGCGCCTGTCACCCTGCGACAAAAGTTGACAAGTCCCATGTGCCTATAATTTCACCAGCATCTTTACCCTTCAAAACCGGAACACAGTAATGCTGACATTATTGCTTGGCGGCAGAAATAGGTATATAAATAGGCAATACTACCCTGGACGACTCCTGAACTCTCACGAGGAGCTCTACTACTACTAAATGCGCAATGTTTAATGCACGTACAATATAATTTCTTACCGGTAGTCCTACTTGTAGAACCACGGTCAAATAAACATTGCCCTTGGTACTACTAGTAGGACTACGCAGTTGGACCACGGGCATTGCAGGAAGGGATATTCGATTGAGTTTCGAGTATCAACTTAAATGATTGCAATCTCTCTCCAAAACCTTTCATTTCAAATCAAAAGATCATTAGAGATGACACAGTTTTATAAATAATTAATTACTGGTAATTTTTATGTTGGTTTCAAACAGTATAGTTTAGTTAGTATAGGTTTTAATCACTCACTAGCGATTTGAAATTTCTTTTTTGTCTGTTAACTTTAATTTAATTCATACTGAATTAAGCTAGAGTATACTTATTTGATACAAATGTTGAAACTAAAAATACCAAAGTACGACAGATTAACTTTTAATTTATATCTTCAAGTTTTCCTAAAGATTCACAAGGAGAGATTATAAATATTGTAATTTCGCTGTTTAACATCAAGTATCTCTTTCGTTAATGCTCATTGTTTCTGCTCCTTGATCAATCCTTATTCCAGAGCACAATAAAATTCTTCGATGTTCGACTCGAAAAACAAAGTCTTTTAGGAAAGCCAGTGCATGGCTTTTCTTTTGGCTTCACATATATTGGAATTTTTTTTGGTTTGCAACGAGGATCGCATCCTACAGATATTACGACTTTTTTTTTGGGGTACGGATAGTTAGGAATGGGTACCCAGGAATCAAAAGTATTTGCAAATAAACTTCCTGTGTCTATCCAAACATCTTCTTGTACTTGTTGTACGAAGGGTTTAGATACCGCTGCTGAAGTATCAATGTTGTAGCGTTCAGAAATTCTGCGAGGTAAAACGTCAGAGATATCTTTGACGGCGACATATTTACATTTGCAATCGCATTTAGGAGGGGGTTTTGGCTTTTTTGGAGTAGGTGTACATGGAGGCGGGGGAGGAGGCGGTGTCGGCGGCGATTCTTGTACTGGCGGGCAAGCAGGAGGTGGCTGAGAACATATAGGGGCTTTTGGTGGACAGTCTGGTTTTTTATCACCACATTTGGACATTTCTACGGACTCCAGAAACTCTTTTATTATAAGAAATTGATTTCGTAATCTTATAACTCTCATAAGTTCTGAAAGTGGCATGTCGCTTGTTATTTTAAACTCTGGTATAGGGCAACTGGTTGATGAACATATTTCAATGGGTTGGTTTAGTTGTTGCTCATTAGTTTCATATTCCTTTTCCTGTTGAATTTGGTTTTCCGTTTTTTCAGGCGTATTGCATTGTGAAAGTTGTTTCTTTAATGGTGTAGTTGCATCTTCTTCATATTCAGGATTAATATAATCAAGTTTGTATTTCTCTTCTTGTTGACTTTGCAATTCTAATGGCATATTTCCTGTTGATATCGATTTCTGTAGTTCCGGTTCTAGTTCGCAGTCAGAGCCAGGCTGTATTAGGGTAATAGGTTTTGAAGTTTCTTCCGATTTATTTCTCGGATTGTACTCATGAGTTTGCACAGTATTCTGTAGTGCTGATGCATCATCCGGCCCTAATATTGGACTTGCACTATGTTCACTACAGTCAACAACAGTCGAGGGCTCCTCTTTTGACGGTGCTGGATTCCGTTGCTGTTGCAAGCACTGAGCGTGATTTAGTTCAAGTGATTTCCACGGTTTATCTCCTTCATTTGTCTGTTTGTGAATTTTTGGTGGATTTGTGTATTTCCACACACAGTCATTAGAAGTAGGTATTGCAGGTCTGTTTTGTATAAAAAAATTATTTGGTGAAAACATCTGAACAGGCTGTCTATGTAACGTACACCTTGTGCTTTGTTGTGGAATTTGTTGTGTATATTGTTGGGATGTATATAATTCTGATAACGTCGCGTGTGGTATTGGAAAATTGTCTACTTTATTGTTCTGCAACAATTGATCACTAGGTGGAAGAGGTTCATGGCCAGTTACTAACTTTTTCTCCGATTCTTCTGATAAGTTTTGATTTTTGATTTTTGAGTTTTGATTGTTTATATCTACAGCTTTAACGGCAACTCGATTTTGTAGCTGTTCAGAAAAGTAGTCAAAGTGATAAGTATTGGGATCGTAGACAACATTTTCTAAAGGGTTACCATTATTTTTAGTTTCCTGATCCATTTTATGTTCTTTATATTTCTGTTGTCTTTCATCGTTCATTGTCTCAACCGTGTCTTTAGTTCCTATTCTTAGAGTTTCCATAGTCTTGGGCTCTGTTGACATAGTTTTATTACAATGCAAAAGCACTTCCTCCTTGGCATCTGTGGAAGGTTCCTTCTTGGGCGTTATTTTATCTGAATCATTTTGTCCATGACTAATTAAGGGAAGGAGCAAGTTACGTGCATTTTTGTCTTCTTTGTCACTAACATTTAATGTTGCATTTATTCTATTATTTACCGTATTACTTTGAAGTTTATATAAATTCCACGATCCTTGTAATCGATTTGTCGGCAAAAAAAGTTCTATTTCGATGGCTCCGCGGTCTCCAATGGAATTATGATTATTTTGTAACTTCCTAGCTTCAGTTTTACTCATGAAATCTTTGTCTGAATTCAGTTTGGTTTTGGAAGAAGTTTTAACGTTTTTCATTGCTGATGTTTTATTTGATAGAACTTTATGCTGCACATGAGGCATGTTAAAAAGCTGCATTTCAGCTAGGTTTTTCATTATCGGTTTTAAATTATTACTTTGTTTCTCATTCGTTTCCTGTCCCTTTTTATGTTCTTTATATTTCAGTTGTCTTTTATCATTCATTGTCTCTACCGTATCTTTATTTCCTATTCCTATAGCCTCCATACTCATGGGTTCTCCAGACGTTGTTTTATTACGATGCAAAAGCATTTCCTCCCTGGCGTCTGTGGAAGGTTCGTTTCTAGGCGTTATTTTATCTGGATCATTTTGTCCATGACTAATTAAGGGAAGGAGCAAGTTACGTACATTCTTGTTTTCTTTGTTACTAGTATTTAATTTTGCATTTATTCTATCATTTACCTTATTACTTTGAGGTTCATATAAATTCCATGATCCTTGTGATCGATTTGTCAGCAAAAAAAATTCATTTTCGATGGTTCCGCCATGTCCGATCGAATTATGATTATTTTGAAACTTCGTTGCTTTAGGTTTACTCACGAAAACTTGGTCTGAATTCGGTTTGGTTTTGGAAGAAGATTTAACGTTTGTCATTGCTGTTGTCTTACTTGATAGAACTTTATGCTGCACATGAGGCGTGTTAATATGCTGCATCTCAGCTGAGTTTTCCGTCATCGGTTTTAAATTATTATTTTGTTTCTCATTAGTTATATGTATCAATCTATGACCTGGATTTTCTGTGTTCATCATTTGTTGTGTATCATCTGTGAACTCATTAATTGTTATTCTATGAGAATTTTTTTTCACTTCGTTTCTTTTAACGTCAGCAATAGCTTTTACTTCATTTTCAGCACCACTATTATCTTGTGTGTTTTTTCGATATCCAGCGACGTTAGAGGTAATTTCTCTTTTTGCCATTTTATTGGTTCTTTTAGTTAATTCTTTGCGAATTTCTTCACCACAACTATTTTCATACAAAAACTCATCATCAGACGTATTTATTTTATCATGACATTTAGTATCTGTCATTTTGTGATGACATGTTACAAGTGGCTTTATTAGTTTTAATTCAAATGGCTTCGGTGTAATAGTTGTACTTGATTTCTTCCATTGATGGTCCCAGTCTAACTCTTGAATTTTATTTACCTTAGGGCTCTGACCTTCAGAGTGAGGTAAAGACGTTATAACGTCATTTGTACTTGATTTTGCATGTTTGTAGTCAACTACAGCTAAGTGGACCTCTTCATCGCAATCTAGGGATTTCGTTGAACTATCTGATGAAGGTACTTCTTTGTCTTTACGTATAGTTATAATTTCTGGCTGATCTTCTGAGGTAACAACTGTCTCTATCTTGACGGTTTCCTCCTCTTTGTTTTGGGTTTGCTTTTCACCGTCAGTGTTTTGTTTCTGTTGTGCTATTATTTGGGCTATATCTTCTTCATAAAATTCATTGGTTCCCTTGATATCAGAATAAGGAAACGGTCCATTTCCAAACACATAATCAATGATTCTTTGGCATTTCTCTCTATGTTCTCTCCTTTGATCGGAGTCGGAAGTCTTCTGTAGCGTTGTTGTCACGGTGGGTACTGAAATAGCGAGAAAAGATATGATTTTATTCGACAGTTACGCGGGGCGTTTACTATAGGTATGTAAAGTATTAGGTGACCAAAATTTTATGGAAAGCACACCCTTCTCATTATTCGCTTAAGAGGGAGAGGTGACTACAAAGTCGTTTTCCATGAGACTCTGATTTACCTTTACAAGTCATAAGACAAAGGTAGACTTTAACCCAGCCAACACGGAATTCTATTCTGACTCGGCTCCTACTTTTACTAGAACCCGGTCCCAAAAGCTACTATTTAGGTGTTCGAACATTCACTTGACCCACAGTGAGATAGCGTTCAAAAAGGTCCATACTACAGAGGAATACAAATTTATAATAAAATACCCCATCATATAAAAAATAGCCAAAAACAGTTTATTCACCTTCAATCTGAAGGCACTTTTAATAAAAAAGCATACTGTTCTGTCGCAGAGTTCATGCAAGATAATGCGCTATAACAAAAGGTCTCATTGTAGTGTAGTAGTTTTTTAACATACATTATCTTTTAATCATTGGAAATAGATTTTTAAGACTAAATAATATTATATAAGGCTAACTAGATTTAAGTATATTTTGCTATGCCATGTTAGGGTCCATGTGATTCTAAAATTTCATGTACCAACTATTTTTGTACCATGGTTGCAATAAACGTCATTTGATTTCAAAAATATTTCCTTATTTTTAGCCACATTATTTGAATACATCATTTCAATCCGGTTCAAGCTTCGGCTGAAACTTAAATCGTTTCCTACCCTTTCGGGGGTTACAACAAGTACTTCGTCCAACTCATCTATTGTAGTTAAAACGCATACTACATCCTATCGATCCAAGCCTAATCTTAAATCTAAAATCTTATTTAGACACTTTCTTATCAGACAAAAACAAAGGAAAAGCAGCCCACTAGGCCTTCGTCATCATCATTATTTCAGCCGAAAGACGTCCACTGCGAAACTTAGACCTCCCTCAAAGAACGCCTCAACGACCGGTCTTGTGCTACTTGCATCCAACGGATTTGTCAACTTTCACCAGGTTAAGGGTCCACCTTGTTATGGTCTGCCACCGCTGCGTCTTCTGGTACGCGTTCGCCATTCGAGAACCATGTCTTAGGCAACGATTATTATTTGCTCGGTTAGGTATTTATCTGAACACATGAATCAAGCAGAATTCGAAGTTTTTTTTTATTCTTTATTTATTTAGGAGCCTTGACCGTTATTAAAAATGGTAGCCCCATTAGAAAAACAATACCTCAAGAAAACACTTAATAACCTCCAGACGGATACATCAAAATACTACTTAACCAAACATGTATACAAAATTATCGCGGCACTACATGTTGGCTCCGACAAAACAGATTGAAACCATCCAACATTAAATGTACGAAAAGCAGCCTGTGCGCGTCCGCGTTACCGCGTCCTGTTAGGTCCCGTCCGAACACACTCCATGAACAAGTGATGCTCATCCTCAGGAATCCCACACACTTTGGAATTCGGTGAGTTCACCCTCCGCATCAAATATAAAAATTTGTTTAAAGAAACGTGCCCGGGTAGAAGCCTATACCTACGCGCTGACAATTTGACCCCTGCTTAAATTAACATGGCCAAACCAAGGAATACGATGAGGCTCACTCTGTATAGTGTACAGATTCCTTTTTCTTGGGACTTCATATCGAAAGAGAATGGAACTTGCTCTTATAGTTTGCAACCACTTCAGAGAAGTTAGGCACAATGTCGACCTGAGGCCCCTCTGAAGCAGCCGCAATGGCTAACCGCGTAGTCCGCTTCCTCATTCCCTAGCAAGCCAACATGTGACGGCACCCACCGCAACCTCAAGCATCTCCTAGTAGTCGTAACATGTTGTATAAGTTGAAGTTCTTCAAATAATGAACCATACGATTTAAGATGTTGGATGGTCAAATGGTTCCCTTTATTTGTTTTCTATAATACACTTTCTTTATGTTTGGTAAGGCGTTATCTCTGTACGGTTCGGTTGTCGGGGATGCACGTAAGGAGCCTCCTCGCAATGGCATACTATTCAAGGCCTCTGTGTGTCTCACTCGGCGAGTACATTACGACTATTAGCAAATCCTTCATCACGATGGCAGAGTCCGAGATCAAGGTCAAAGGTCATATGGAGTCGTTGATTTTCAGGTGCCAGTGCCGGCTAAACCAATGTTTCACGAACTGCTTATTGTAGCACATTATCCCTTTGGCAATATCGCCCAATATGCATTTTTAATCAATTCGTATCTTCTTAACGGAATCGTTCGAGGTCAAGGTCATAATATGACATATTACGGACTGGTTTCACAAATTGATTATTGAGGCACAATACCCCCTTTGAAAATATCGCGAAATTCGCATTTTTAATTACCTCATTCATATCTTCTGAACGAGACCGTTCGCGGTCAACGTCAAAGGTCACATGGCTTTGTCACAGACCCTGTAAAAAAGTTTTAGCCTTACCGTGCAAGATCAAAAAGTTGTGAGGAAAATAATTGTAACTTGTTTAGAATTACATTTATTTGCTAAGTTTTATTGAAATCGGTTACCGGAAAGTGCGTAAAACTGGGTTCATGTCCTAGTTTGCCACTCTTAGAGGTCGAATATTTTCTTCAAATTTAAATGTGACCAATACTGAGGTACCCTCTTTGCCAACAAAAAAAGAATCACAAATCGCAGGAGTTATACAGCGTAACGTACATATAAAAAAATTGCCATCGAATTGAGAATCTTTTATGTTTTGAAGTCGGTTAACAAATTCCATTTTCATGTTAATACCAAAATAATCTCGTGACCAATAGATTATTCGACGTTTTGATGTCTTGACAGCATTGTATACTTAAAACTGCCGAAAATAACATTTCATTTTTTGAATAATCCTACGAAAGTCAAGCTTGTTTTTTACCTGGATGTAGCTCCTTAACCTAACGTTGAGGGGTTCAGCGATAATATTATATTACACTACAATTTTACAGTTATAAGGCTGCCTTTCCACCAGAGGTGTGTCACGTAGCGAGGCTATGTGCGAGGAAAAATCCACTTACAGAATGACTTAATTTTCTTAGCCCCCCTTAGCGCAGCTCCGGTGGCAAAGGGTTAGCAGAGCTAAGTATTTCTACATACAAAATAGCGAGAGATGTGTACGAGGAATGTGTACTAGGGATGCAGGCGTGGAATGTGTGCAAAACGGTATAAGAAACTAGAACTACTGAAAGTATAACACTAGCCGACCCCGCTCGCGCATAGCTGAAAAGAGTCTGTAACGTATCCGCGTACTTCGCACAGCTTTGGTGGAAAGACAGCCTAAAGGTGGATTCACAATACAAAAGTGAGGCACAATAGAATTGCGGCAATTTAACGGTAGCAATCGCGGAAAGCGATTTAGTATTTTATTAATACGTTTATTATTAGTAATACGAAGTATTTGTTTTTCTTTAGTGAATTTATCTAATTTCTGGCATTGTATTTATTGAAAAGAAGAAAGACGTTAGTTATAAACATATCCCATCGTTTACAGACAGACAAATAACTATCTTAAAATAATAAAAATACAAATTTTTACAATACAAAGCACTCACCGTCAATTTATTTTTACTACTAAGCAGCTAGAGTGCAGAATGTGTTAAACTCACTTAAGAAACTTTAAATTCCATACACAAAAAACACTTCAAATTATAACAAAAAAAGTATCCCGCCATACAGACGACCGTGACAGACCGTCATAGCGATTATTGTTGCGTTTTGCGATAAAAAGCTTACCCGAAACAGGCTTTTAAATTGCATTGCGCGTTAATATGTCACAGCTCTTGATTGGTCAACTCAAGACCATATCGCGCAACGTGATGTATTGCCAGAATTTGTGCATTCTGAATCCACCTTAAGATGTACATTATACAGACTACAAGATGTGTTACTAACTATTAGGTCTACCGCTTAACTGAGTCGGTGAAGTCGGTCCTGAGGTAGCTGCGCAATGCGGGGGAGAGGCAGTTTACGTAACAATTATGTCGCGCTGCACACGGCGTAATATCGACAAGATTTTACTGACGATATTCAATTTATTTATTTACTTACAAAGAAAACATCCTTTTGACCCCAAAGAGGTTCGCATCTTCACTGACGGGTCCAAAATAAATGCAGGAACAGGTACTGGGGTATTTTCTGAAGACCCCAATATCAGGATTTCAACACCGCTTGGCAACCATAACACAGTATTCCAGGCTGAATGTATGGGTATCAAGTTGGCAGCAGAAGCAATCATAGCTAGAAGAGTACAGAGCCACTAAATTCGTATGCAGCATGACAGCATGGCAGTACTTCAAGCACTGGGCGGCTATGACATAAACTCAGGACTTATCCATGAATGCCACCAAGCACTCATGGAGGTATGTACGTACAACCATGTAATACTACAGTGGATCAAAGGACACAGCGGCTCACGTGTCACGTGGACGCTATAGGACCAGAACCTACAGTGCCCCTCCCTTACCAAATGGTCAAGAGCAACTATACAAAGGTACAAAAACTATTCATAATAACACCTGGACAACCCATACGGTTTGTAGACAGGCCAGGGAAGCACTCCCCACGCTTAATGCCAGTCTATCTCGCACATTTCTTAACCTCAAAAGAAAAGAGCTGCGCGTTCTAACTGCCGCTCTGACGGGTCATGGTCCATATAATAAACATCTTTTGAATCTAGGTATCACGGACAGCCCTCTATGCAGAGCATGCGTGGAAGGGGAGGAAACCGCCGCGGACATCCTACTGCAATGCCCATTGCGTGGCCAACTACAGTGGAGTGCCGAGGTCGCTCCAAGAAGTATTTGAAACATCCAGAAGGGCGCCAAGATTTTTGGGCTTGGGTGACACGAGTAGGACCCACTACTCGCAAAATAGGCGCTTGGACGTCTAGTTGCGGACAACGGCCCGTTATACCATAACATTCTTTTGGACTTATAGCTTAAACCAAAGCGTCACAAGACTTAAACTTAAAAGATTTAAATATAGCATAATATAATTTAAATGTAACATACAACATACAAAATAAAAAATAATGCTTAAAAACTAAACAAGGAAAGAAAAAAGATAAATACACACCACTTTACACAAATTACTACAATCTAAAACTTATCTCAAATTTACCAAGCGACTTAAGGCCGCTGAGAGGACACGGCACTTGTCAGTAAACACATCGGGCTCCTGGATCAAAACCAGAAACTTGTATGAATAGCAACTTGGTTGAAAAAAGTGTATATCAAATTACTCAATTGTTGTTATGTGAAAAGATAATAAAAAAAAGCACAATTTCATTGATAATTGTAATGAATCTCGCAGTTTTTCGCTTGTGCACTAAGTCCAATTCGAATGCTAGAAAATACGAATATCGCTTGTATACCTAGAGATAAAATAGCTCCTGTGACATTTAGGGCGTCTACTTCCGTTCTCTGACCGAAACAATTACTCTCAAATAAGTAATAGGGAAACGTGGGGTGTTGGGAGCCCGCGGGTGATGAGAGCGGTGTTAAACTGGACTTTCCCAATGCTCGTATTTGTGCAAAAGGCACTCCTATGTCTTCGTTAACGTTCGACAAGTTTCGAGTCCCGTGGGCGTCCCCGTAGATCCCCGCGTTTAGTCGTATGAGATGGTATGAGATGAGTCGTATGAGATATTTTATATGCCCGTAAAAATATACATAATTTCAATAAGAAAGAAGATATCCATAATATTAACCTTAGAGCTAAGTCCAAACTCATGGTACCACGATTTCGTTTAACCAAGGTAAACAACTCTTTTATGGGGAACTGTATACGTTTTTACAATAAGATTCCGGAGCATATATTAAGTTTATCATTTCCTAAGTTTAAAAACTACATTAAAAATATTTTGATCGAAAAATCATATTACAAAATTGAAGACTACGTGTTAGATAAAGATGTATGGAAAGACGACATGGCTCCAGAATCCACACAAATTTGATTCAAAGTGTATTCCATAGCATTTAAGTTTATTTGAAAAGAGCAATCCCTAGAGTTTCTTGCTCGTTCTTCTCAGGGAGGTCAGCGTAGTGAACGAGCAGTAGCTTAAGCTTAAATGTGACGTTTTCAAGTGTAAATTTATTTTACCTATGGAATAAATAATCTTTGACTTTGACTTTGACTTTGACTTTGACTTTGTTGTGTTTTTCGCTCCGCGCTTATAAAATTTGCTAAATTTCATAATCCCAGGTAAGCATTAAAATGCATAGACACTACATTGTATTTACACTAGCTATGTCACAATACCTATCAAATTTTAGAAGCTATGCTTGAAATCACAATAAAAATAGAAATGTTTTTACTGTTTTATTCCTTTTTCAATTCGATGTTACGCAGATAATGAGAGCTATTTGGCTCTCCTTATCCCATTGCAATATTCACTGGATATTGCGTTAACACTTTCTTCTTTATTTTCATTACTTTTTAACTTATATATTTTATTACATTAATTTTTATTTTTTTTTCAGTCTGTTTGTATATAGTGGCTCCCATTTGACATACGGGATTCTAATCGGCTCCCATTACCCGAACTGTGGGGTAATGAGAGCGAATGACATGTTTTAGTTTTTTCTTTTTTAACCAAATATTTTATTTTAGTTTCATATTTGTTCTGTGATCATCTAGTACCCGGATATGTGAAGCGTATGTTCATAACTAATAAAAATTTAAATTGCATAAACTATGACTTTTATTCATTGACTTACAAATAAATGGACGACGGGTCTAATACAAATACCACGAAAAAAATGTCCCAAGTCAACCTATTCGAAATTTAAATTATAATGTCATCGCAGTATCGCGCTGTCAGTCGAACAAATGAAGACTAAAGCGGAGTTTGACGCTCTGTATACGATTTTAACGCCTTACAAGTGCGGACACTTTTTAGCGCGGACCCGACGTCCATATAATTGTAAGTCAATGCTATCTATATAAATATATATATATAAATCTTATTGTCAATTTTCCTTAATAGGTTCGCATTCCCCCACGCTCCCCTACTCGACACAAAAATCAAAAAGCAATGTCAAGTATGAAGCTTCATTCACAACATGGCTTTTTTGAATTTAGTCGACTATTACTTATTTGACAGTAATTGTATCGAACAGATGTCAAACGGACAACGGGAGTGAACCCCCCCATACCAATGGGACGTAGCGTGCGCAATAGCACTAAACGGTAAGTCAGCAGCTTGATTGCCTCTCCCGATCGGAAACTGCGTCTCTTCCGAGGTGAGGCGCATAATTGCGATTCACAACTGGCCGATCGAAAGCTTTGACATTTCAAATTGGAACAATAGTTGATTTAACTTACAAATTAGAAAGATATAGTAAGAATCAGGTTCATCTTCTCGCTCAGAAACCCGTCTGATTTCGAGACTACCCGATCGGGTCGATTCCGGTTTGAATCAAAATCAGGAAGTTGAAGTTAGAGATTGCAAACATTTCTAGTTGAAGTAGTAATTTAAGTTCAAAATCGCAAATTGATGGTCGATGAGACATGTAGTAAATTAATATAAAATAAAATCTTACAATTTTGTTTCTTTTCACCTACCATTACCTACTCTCTGGTAGGAAATATTAATAGTATTAGCTAAGAACGAAAACGTGTTCGCGCCCATGTGTTTTGTTTTAAGTTTTATTATTGTTATTAACTGTTGTATATATAATTCGTAAGTCTTATTAAAATAAGTTCTTATTGTGTTGTGTGCAATTTTTAGTAAATCAATGCGAGGAAGATGGGTCTTTGACGGGACGTTGCCAATAGGACAGCATTCCAAATCTAACTGCGATACAAGCAAAACTAAGAAGCTCAAGAAGAATCCATAACCAGGTATTTTTCACTACAGTCACAAATAGTTCTCATCCAGTGTGACTCGTCGAAGGGGCCCTCATTTTCTGGTCCTTCAGCAGCCGGATTACATAAAAAAAGAAACTACGTCTTCAAGAAAAAACAATGCCAGTTACAAGAAGCGCAAAATACGTAAGAATCCTCATCCGCCGCACTAATCTGTTTGACGGGCACCGAAACGACCACGGGAACCGAAACGACTGCTACCACTTCAAAACACACGCGCTCCACGTACGACCCGACCGGTGCAACTGTGGAAACCGACGCAACATTCAGACAAATCAACGTCGCGCTGACTGCCGCTTCGCCAGTCTCCCAACTAGCAGAGACACCTGAAGCCGGGCCATTACAAGCGATACACCGCGAAGAATTCACTCGCCTAAATCTATTCGATCCGTCTCTTCGAACAGTCGTCGTAGGCAGCTAGCGGAAGCGCAACAAGAATTATTGAAGCTGAAAATCAAGTTAATGTCTGTAAAGATCGCGGTAATAATAGAGGAATCGGATGAAGACGAACCAGAGGAAGCGAAGAAGGCACGTACTCATCGGAAAGCGTGTAAAGTCTAACCTAACCTAACCTGTATTGCGCCAGCGAGCGCGGACTATGGCCTAAGCTCTCGACTAAGCGAAACTAGAGTCAATTATATTATAGTCAAATTTGAAGAGCTTTGTATGAAAAGAAGTAATGGAGTAGAAATTTTTATCTCTCAGTCATTACAATACTACACGTATATATGTACATGTATGTGTTAATAAATATATATAAGTCATTGACCTACCATATAGGTAAATATCTCAAGGAGCACACTTCAAATGCCTTAAAACGATTATATCTATAAATAGTCTTAATATAGTATAGATTTAGATAATAGTTCTCTATAAATGGTTTTAGAAAAAATATATTGTTCTTACAGACTTATTTCACTCAAGTCAAAATTTTGACACCTTAATACCAAACAACTTAATTAAGTGTAATCTTGCTTAAGTTTTACTCTTATAGTCCTTATTTTATGTTCATCTGTAGAACAACTGATTATTTTTAGTAAAATTGTTCTATACACATCCAGTAAAGTCTATTAATACTCAAAAAACTAGTGTTCTTAAGTTTATTCTAAATATATTTAATTTATAGACATTCTGTAGTGTTTGTACTTATTGACAAACACGTTATAGCGCGTCTTCAGTAGATTTTATTGAAAAAAATGCTACAATTAGGGTTTTTACTCTATTGGACGTTGCAAGAGTTCATGCAAAATGCATTTTCCTCCCCCCCCACAAAATCCCCAATCTAGTTGAAACTCCCCATAATTTGGGGAATTTCCCCACAAATTGGCAACCCTGGATACAATACTCGTAATTCGCGTTCGG